TACTTATATATATATATATATATATATATATATATATATATATATATATGTCAACTTAGACGGAATTTATTTGTGTTTGTTTATTTATTTGTGTGTTTGTTTGTTTATGCTCTCACAAAATATGACACTTTTAGTGTCTGCTTTAGAAAACTGCAGCACTGTTTGAAAATTTAAAGTCTGAATATCATTTCAGTACGCTTGCTTTTAAATCACATGCATTTATTCGTGCAAATCAGACTAACTGTTCCAATAAAACCAGCATCCCAGCTAATATTGTCGGTTATATCCGCACTAATCCAGCTGTAACTATTTAAAACTTTGATTTAATCTTGTTTTTCCTAACTCAAACCAGCATTATCAGACGCAATGCACTGAAACATATCCTGTTTAGCATCAGCTTCTGATGACGGGCCGCATTACCATAGACGAAGCAAACATTTCATTTCAGCTTGTGAATGAAGTCAGTGGATTTCATTACACACACCGTGTATATTTTCACACCTTGGCTCCATAACCGACATGCATCTAGCACAAATCACCAAAACACACATACACACACACACACACAGGCCAACACTTTCACACCAATCCACACAAAAACACACACATATGCATGCATGCATTGAAACGAACACACACAAATTGCATACACTCTGCGATTGCACTTAATTCAATCAGCAGTGGGATATTGACACCATATGTGCCCTAATCATTGGTTGCGGGCGATCCTGATTAGGTTATTACAGATAATATAGTTGTCTTCTGTCACAATATTGGTCTTTTGCATCTGAGGTCAACAATAGGAAAACACAGTTCAACTCATGCATATTGACATTTCAATCATTTACATACAGCAGCGTTACAGGGTAATATCTTTACTAATATCAGACATTGTCTCTGTTTGGAGTCGATGTTTAGCTTGGCTTTTTAAAAAAAATTTTTAAGTGCTCGGAGTGATTTTCTCACAGCGTGGATTAAAAATGATTGTCGTGGCTGCAAGGTCCCGCCGAACGCAAAGAAATACGTTGGAGTCGATTGTGTTGACACAATAATTTGAGCAAATGCATTCTGGGAAATTTATTTGAGCTAACAAACTTGTAATAAAGTAATTATAGTTATTGCAACTAAAATAATTATTTAGTTATTTAAAACACACTTAACTGATAATCAAGGCCATGTCTTATCCAAATAAATCAATATTTTCTAGTAACACTTTCTCTGGCCGTTTCGTCTTTGGTGTCAAAGCATTGCAGGCGTTTTTCATTCTGAAGCACAAAAACAAGCTCGGCGGTGCTGGATCCGAGCTCATCTGCATCTCTCCACGCTAAACATTTCCATTTAGAGTGATTTAAAGGAGGGACTTTATGTCCCTGCCATGTGCGTCCATCATCCGCAGACGTGCCGCCGTCCCCCGACCCCGCTCTGCCTCTGTAAACCTGAGTTATAGAGCAGCTATTTGAAAAGATAATAATTTAACTTTCCCTCCACAGTTACACTGAGGAAATGGATGTGTTTGTGTTGATTGCCTGAGCTCTGACGGTTTCCTTGTACTTTAGGAGAGAGTGAAAGAGACGCCACGCGTGATGGTAGAGTGTTTGTTTTTGAAAATCAACCATGCGTTCGATCATTATGGGTGAGTTAAAGGGACAGTTCATCAAAAACGGGGGAACAAATAGATATAATAAAATAAATAAATAACACATCTGTAACGTATTCATTCTCATGTCATTTGCTTTTGATTTGTTTATTTATTGTGAAACACAAAAGGACATTTGAAAAGGAAAGATTTAGTAGAAGGTTCAAGCTGCTCTTTTACGTACAATAAAAGTGGATGGTGACTGGGTCTGTCAAGCTTCAAAAAGAAAAAAAAATTCTATAATGCCACATAAAAGTATCAAGATCACTGATTGTGGACAATCCTGATTAGGTTATTACAGATAATATAGTTGTTTTCTGTAACAATGTTGCTCGTACACATTGATCTTATTGTTCCAAGGTCAAAAAATAGGAAATCATAGTTCAAATCATGACATTTCAGTGATTTATACATACAGCACAGTTCCATTATTTTCAGTTTATTTTTTTATTTATTTACTTATTTAATTATTTAATTGCATAGTTTATTATAGTTTCCCCACATTTTTGATGAACTATACTTTTTACTCACCCATAATTATCTTATTTCTTT